GTGCAGTAGCCTAGTGGCCGAAGTCCTTACCTTGCAGTTTGCCAGGATTCCATATGGGCACCAGTTCGTATCCCAGCAGCCCCACTCCCCAGCCAGCTCCCTGCTTGTGGCCTGGGAAAGCAATAAAGAATGGCCCAAAGCCTTGGGACCCTGTACCCCTGTGGGATACCCGGAAGCTCCTGGCTTCCTATCAATTCAGCTGCAGCCATTGCAGCCACTCGGGGAGTGAACCAGCAGATGGAAGATCTTTTTTTCCTGTAACTCCTTGGTGTAAATCTTCCTTTACATGTGTGCGGGGGAAGGGACTAAGGGCTCCACCCTAATGCCGAGGTGCTTGTTTTTCCTTACTTTCCTAGGTATGTTTCCCTATGTCATGCTGGCCAGCAGTCCTCTCTTTTGCTCCCCTGAGTGGCCTAGGAGGCTGCTTTCTCACTGCCCCAAAAGGCTGCAAGATTTTTTGCCCCTCAAGGCCGCCCCCCAGCCCAGCACTTCTTGTGTGTATAAGAGGAGTCGGGCCAAAGGAGGCCAGAAACCGGGACTGCGCCATCAGCTGGGGACCCTCTTCACCCTGCTCTACCTCCTGGAGCAGCTCTTCCTGCCTTACTCCCACTTCCTCACGCAGGTTTGTGAGGCGGGGAGGGCAGCAGAGCCTGGGCTGTCATCGTTGTGGGGGACGGGACCAGTGCAAGAAGCACTGAACCCCTCCCTCTCCCCCTCGGCCCCACTTTCTAGGGCTACAACAACTGGACGAACGGGCTGTACGGCTACTCCTGGGACATGATGGTGCACTCCCGCTCCCACCAGCACGTGAAGATCACCTACCGTGACGGCCGCACGGGCGAGCTGGGCTACCTGAACCCCGGGGTGAGGCGTCTGTTGCCGACAGTTGACTGTGTGAAAGCCCCCTGCAACGTGGAGATCTGGTTTGATCCTACACACACCAGGAAGTGAAACAAATTTGAGCCTGCTCGACTCGACCCTTTTCTCAAGCGCTAGATTAGCTGCTGTTTTTGCCTTTAAGTTTTATTTTCTTGAAGAGTTAGTGTCAGGGAGAGAGAGAAATCTCCTATGTGTTGGTTCATTTCCCAAATGAGCGCAACAGCCAGGGATGGGCTGGGCTGAAGCCAGGAGTTCCTTCCAGGCCTTCCATTTGGTACAGGAGTCCATATACTTGGGCCATCTCTGCTACGTTGCCAGACACATTAGCAGGGAGCTGGATTAGACGTGGAGCAGCTGGGACTTAACAGGCACACATATGGGGTGCCAACATCACAGGTGGTGACTTAACCCACTATGCCACAGTACTGCCCGCCCCCTGATCTTGTAGTGATTGTCGCTTGCTTGAATTGAGATTAAAGAAATCCAAGTCCCACCATTCCAGCAATGAAAAATTCACCCCCAAAGTCGAATGTTTGTTTTTGCAGTAGGCCATTCTATGCCGTTGGCAGCCTGTGACCTGTGTGAGAGATTGGAAATGATGAGGTGAGACTAACATGGGGGTTTGGGGCAGGTGTTCACACAGAGCCGGCGATGGAAGGATCATGCCGACATGCTGAAGCAGTATGCCACTTGCCTGAGCCGCCTGCTTCCCAAGTACAATGTCACTGAGCCCCAGATCTACTTTGATATTTGGGTCTCCATCAATGACCGCTTCCAGCAGAGGTGGGCCATGGGAGCAGAGAATGGGAGAACAAGGAAGTGCTGCTCTCTTGCCAAGGTCTACAGCCTTGTGCTGCTTGTGTGTTTGGCTTAAATGGTTGTCTCTTTAGTAGTGCATGTTCTGGTTCATCTAGTTGTGGGTGTAACTAGTTGCTTCCAGCAGGGGGCACCAGCATCCAGGAGAAAAAAAGTTTTCAGACATCATTAACACAAGGCCTTCTCTAATAGTCACTAACCCTGATTTTTCCCAGCGCTCCAGCCTCTCTTCCCCCTCTCTGCCGTGGACTGGCCATGACATGCTGCCATAAAGTTGTTTCTTGCATTGGGAAATTCTATTCCTCTCCCTGGGAACAGTGGTGAAAGGCACAGAACCAGAAGTTCTGCTGGATGGGCAGCTGTGGCCTCGTTACAACTTTGTTTTCTTTCCTAAGGCTGTTTGACCCTCGTGTGGACATTGTTCAGGCTGTCTGGTCCCCCTTCCAGCGCACACCGTGGCTGCAGCCACTCCTGATGGACCTGTCCCCCTGGAGGACCAAGTTACAGGAAATCAGGAGCAGCCTGGACAACCACACTGAGGTGGTCTTCATCGCCGATTTCCCTGGTATGCAGCAAAATGGGATCCCTTGGCCAGAGGCAGTGCACTCCTGGTGGGAAGAATGGTCGTGAAACTTGAGGGGTGTGGATGGTGCAGGGGCGAGCCCTCTGTTCTGACCCAGTAAACCCTGCTGCCCTGGCAGGACTGCACCTGGAGAACTTTGTGAGTGAAGACCTGGGCAACACGAGCATCCAGCTGCTGCAGGGGGAGGTGACTGTGGAGCTGGTGGCTGAGCACAAGAATCAGACTCTTCGGGAGGGAGAAAAAATGCAGGTATTTGCTTGGGAATAGCAAGAGCAGAAAGTCGAGATGAAAAGCGATCGTTTACTCTAGACAAAGAGCAGCTGCTTCCCCAGAGCAGTAATGCAATAGGACTGCAAAATTCAAGGGCCTCTGGAGCAGTGAGGACAACCAGGATCCATTACACAACTTGTTTGTAAGACAGAGAATCGGGGAACTCCCATCTAGTGTCCTGGATGTCCACAACAGCGAGGGCTGGCCCTCCTGAGCTGGGCTTCCCACGGAGGTGGCAGGGACCCAGTTACCTGAGCCATTCCCAGTGGCCTCCCAGGGTGTGCAGTGGCAGGAAGCTGAAATCTGGAGCAAAGCTGGGGCTCAAACCCAGGCACTCCAATGAGATTGTAGGTGTTGCAAACAGCGTCTTGGCCCCTGCCAAATGCCTGCTCCTTATTTGGCATCCTAAAGGTAACATGCCAGGCAGAGCCAAGTTGGGAGTCCACAGGCTGGCAGGAGACTTGGAGTGAAATGCTTCTCTCTCCCAATCCCCTTGATCAGCTGCCTGCCGGTGAGTACCATAAAGTGTACACAGTGTCATCTAGCCCTTCCTGCTACATGTACATCTATGTCAACACCACAGAGGTCGCACTGGAGCAAGACCTGGCCCATCTGCAGGAATTAAAGGAAAAGGTTGAGAATGGAACTGGTGAGTGTGACTTTTGGGTTGAAGCAGCCTTTGGGTTCAAGAAACTGGGGTTGAGTATCTAGACAGACTGAACTTGAGGCCATCTCAGAAGGGGAGTCCAAGGGACAAAGATCCACCTTGGTGATTGCTCTCTTCACAATCTTCTGGACAGAGACGGGGCCTCTGCCTCCTGAGCTGCAGCCTCTCCTGGAAGGGGAGGTCAAAGGGGGCCCAGAGCCCACGCCCCTGGTTCAGACCTTTCTTAGACGCCAGCAAAAGCTCCAAGAGATTGAACGCCGACGCAACAGCCCTTTCCACGAGCGACTGCTCCGCTTCTTGCTGCGCAAGCTCTACATCTTTCGCCGTAGGTACGTCTCCTCAGTACTTGTCCCTGTCTGCAGGCAGTAGAAACTTTCCCCAAACACTGAGGCTCTAAAGATGCTCTACTGTCCCATGAATCATTTGCAGTAGGATGTGCCTCAGCCCCATTTTTCACCTCTGTGATATCCCTTCCATGGCACCTCAACCAAGGTGTCAGGGGTGTACCTTTCCAGCTGGTAGGCAGAGGGCTGCTATATGTCTGGGTGACTGTTGAACATGACCTCTTTCCCATTTTTCAGCTTCCTGATGACTTGTATTTCACTTCGAAATCTGGCCTTGGGTCGCCCTTCACTGGAGCAACTCGCCCAAGAGGTGACTTATGCAAACCTGCGACCCTTTGAGCCAGCTGGAACCACAGACTCTTCAAATTCTGATCATCCTGAGCCACATGCTGATCCTGCACACTCAGAGTTCTAGAGGAGCAAGGTGTTGGGTCAATTACCTATGCAGTGCAGTCCAGAAAATTTCTGGTACTACTTACAATCTTTTGCCCTTGTCCAAAGCTCTTTTAAGTTCAGTGAGCCTTACAGGAGTCAAGGAAATAAATGGATTTTTCCAGTGAAAATGGAGAAGGTGGTACTGCCACTTGCAACAGCAGCACACTAAAATTTGGAGCTCTGGGAAGGTAAAGATGGCTCAAACTGGTTCCTAAGGTCCCAGCTTTTGCTATAACTGGAGCAAAGTGGCAGATGTGTCACTTTGCTTTTCAGGTATTAAAAATGGAGGGACTATCTGGCACCTGGGGATGGTATGGAATAGTCTTACCCACTTTCCTATAGCCCTGAACTTTTTACATAGTTAATTAGGTTAAGAGTGTCAAAAATATACCCCCCCCCCAAAAAAAAGAGCGACTAAGATTATCCTAAGTCAGCCCACCCTACTTAAAGAGGCAAAGTTTAAAGTGACTTGGTCATTGGGGACATTTATGAAAAGAATGTCTTGCTACATGCTGGGCACTATCACCTTTCAAGCTATTTATCACTAGCCCCCTGTAATTTTATTCAAAGATAACTGATGGCTTTGAACTTGCCAAAGAGTCCATGCTTTCAGAATCATAGAAACTCAAGTTTTTAAATGGTTCACTGTATTCCCCCTCCCCCAAACAAGCTTACCATTTGGTATCAGCATTTAGTGAACAGGCGATTAAATTATTAAATATGAAATTGGAAAGAACTTTCAGTGCAAGGGAGACAAAAACTGGCTTGCATTTCTCAGCTCTTCCCCATACCCTGTGTCCTACACCTGGAGGGCTCAGATACCTCTACACTGATGTACTGTGATACTTTACCCCAGACCAAGCATTAAAAAGGGCAGATAAAAAGGGATTAAAGGGCTGGCACTATAAACCTGTAAATGCCTGCACAATCAGATCTGAGGAATGAGGTCAGCTTATACAATGCTTAGATCACATCCATGCCAACTACCTTTAAGAAATGCACACAGTTTAAGGTAGAACCTAGCATTTTATTTAGATCTTCATTAAACTGTTGGAATTGAGAACCAGACATACGTAATAAACCTCCAAAAATAGATCCTGAAAGGCACTTTCTGCTTAGGGCAAGCAGTCATGGAATAAGCATGTAAACAAGCTGGCTTCTCTGTACCACACCAGCCAAGTCCGCTTCCTCCATGGCCAGCTGCACCAGCTCTGCCCTCCCTTCTGTTGACACCAGCCAGACCCCCTGTAGGTCTAACCCAAGGTTTTTCTGTAGGACACCTTGGCCTACCTGGGAATGCTGGAAACATGTTAAAGGAATCATGGTGTTGAGAGAAAAAAAAAAATTTAAAAGCTGCCATCTGAGGTGATGGCTTCTCTGTACTTACGCCATACCCCAGAATACAATAAATAAGCAATTAGAAAATGTTCAAGTATGAAGGGATTTCCTCCTCCCCGCCAAAAGCACTGCTCTCTGAAGAAAGCTGGTTTCTCTGTAGCTACACCAGCCGTTCAGAAAGCTCATTGGACCTGGTTTTGAAAATAAAACAAAGTTAAAACCCTGGGAGGAGTTATTGTGCAGTGTGGAGTACTCAGTCTTTCTTATAAAGAAAAAAAAAAAAGTTATCTGGTACCAAAGTGTGCAACCTACAGACCCTCAGGTACTGCCCTGTGACTTCTCTGTATGATATCACAAGGGTGCCAAGTGCCCGTTTTTCTAGAGCTAGGAGTTGGTGAGGTTTGGCTAGTGCTGAAACCATGCATAGGATTGGTTTGCTAAGTAGAAACCTTATTACGTACGTCCTCCAAAAGACAGCTGAAAGTGGAGAGATTTAATTTGGTGCTGTTAGAGGTGGCCATTAGAGCATAAGCACCAGGGAGATGGTTTAATAGTAACTGCCTTTTTATGTCAGGCTAGAGCTCCAACTGGAACTTGCGTTACATGCAAGACTGATTGGATAGGGACACTCCCTGACAAAGAGCTACATAATTAGAAATGGGCTGAGTTACAGGGAGGATAAAGAGGGGCTTCACATTCATAAGAGCTCAAGACATTACAAATTCATGCTGACAGGGTTGTGGCATTGCCAGACAGAAGCTATAGTGGACTACAAATACTTTACGTGCACATTACAAGGACATTTTCAGCATCTGGTGGGTAACTCAATGCAATTAGGACTTGAGGGTTGGGCAACAGGGCACACAGGTTCAATTTCAAAGCATTATTACTACAGTGTTGTTTCTAGGCAGTTACATGGATCACCTATGCTCACTAAGTTCATTATAATGGTGGACAAAACACCTAGGGACAGAATAGCAAGCCCAACTTACAGTCCCCCAACAAAGGCTAAAATTCATGTCATTGACTAGAGTGACTGCAACTTAGCAGGAGCTGAAAGAGGACAGGAGAATTTAGTCAGAAGGGCCCTTTCCCTCAGAGCTTGAAGGCTTCTCTGTAGCCTACGCCAACAAGTCTGGGGAAAAAAGGCTAACACTTTCAATATTTAAGCTTTTTGGGCACTTCCCATGGGAAGCTGTCCCTACCAAAGTGGCCATAGGCTGCAGTCCTCTGATAAATTGGCTTCTTCAGATCCAGATCCCTGGAATATACAAGTCCATAACTTAATATGTAGCACTGAATTAAAATAAAGCAAAAACAATCAGCAAGACTCATTTTCAAGAGCTCTGGCATAGAGTTCTGTTCTCTGGGGTATGCTAGGAAAAAAGTTTATGGCAAAAGTGTTTGTTACTTCCCTGGTGTCCAAACTCCTTGCACAGTCCTCATTAGTAAATACAGTGCTCGTTTTTCCACCCCTGGCTTTGTCAGAAAACTCAGAAGCTTATCTGTGACCATGAAATACTTACCAAGCCTTAAAATCCCACTTTTAAGAAACTCATAACACCCTTAGGATAAGTACAACTTTAGACTCAAGTAACTAAGCCATCTCCTGAAGACAACTTATTAAGCATCAACATGTTCTAGGAATGTGTCCCCACTTGAAATCTTCTTTCACAGCCTCAGATTTATGTAGCATGCACATGTGTGTGTGCACACACAGCCACACACCCTTACTGTTTCACTAGCAATAGGCTTTACCATCTTTACCTGACAATGACCCCAGGGCGCAGATCAAAATTCTTCTTCACAATCTCTAACAGCTCTCTCTCACTCTTCTGAGAGGTGCCATAATGGAAAATGGAGATAGACAATGGATGAGAAACTCCAATAGCGTAAGAGACCTAAAAGAATTCAGATATTGTAAGTCAGTGACTGAAAGCCGCATTTAACACTGATGTGATCACCCCTCTCATGGGTGATTAAGGATACACACCTGAACAAGCACCCTCCTGCACAGACCTCCTTTAACAAGGGACTTTGCCACCCAACGAGCAGCATAAGCAGCTGAGCGGTCCACCTTGGTATAATCTTTTCCTGAAAAGGCACCTCCTCCGTGAGCTCCCCAACCACCATAAGTGTCCACAATGATTTTCCGGCCAGTCAATCCCGCATCACCCTGAAATATAGGATTTAAAGTCACTTTCATGTCGTCTAGGTGGTCCTAGATCCAGTCAGTATTCTCAGAAGGTTCACGGGCAGGCCTCAGAAAACCTGGAAAGAAGGTTAAAGTGGCAAAATTTTTTAAGTAACGTAAGATCCCAAACAATAAATTGCATTACCTGAGGCCCACCAATAACAAATCTGCCACTTGGCTGCAGGTGGTAAATTGTATCCTCATCAAGGTATTTTGCAGGTACAACAGCTTTGATGACCTTCTCCTTTAAGGCATCCCTCATCTCATCAAGACAAACTTCCTCATCATGCTGAACAGAGATAACAATTGTGTGGACTCTGATGGGAAGCACGGCGCCTCGGTCCTGCATATACTGCACCGTCACCTTAAAGGCAACAGAGGTCGTCAGAAGTGCAGTGTACTAAGGGCTTTGCTCTTGGTTCTCTAGTGAAGTTAGAATGAACCAAGACAAATGCTGTTTTCCAACTTGCTGTAATCAATTTAGTTTTATCACTTACTTGAGTCTTAGAATCTGGGCGTAACCAAGGCAAAGTGCCATTGCGGCGGAGTTCAGCCAGTTTGGCATTGAGCTTATGTGCTAAAACAATCGTTAAAGGCATACACTCCTCCGTTTCATCAGTGGCATAACCAAACATTAAACCCTGAAAAAGAGAAAGTCCCTAATGTGATCAAAGCTTCAGAATTGAACATCAGAAGAGATGCAAAGAGCCTGTACCAAGTACCTGATCTCCTGCACCAATGTCTTCCTCATTCCGGTCAAGATGAACACCTTGAGCAATATCTGGTGACTGTTGTTCCAGCGCCACCAGCACATTACAAGTCTTATAGTCAAATCCTATAAGCAAAGAACACACTGTTCAGCAGGGAGGGGTAACCACAGAAGTACTTTCTAGCATCGTTTGGAGTTTTTAGTACTGACAAACATGAACACACACATGCGGCAGTCCTTATCTACATAGCTCCCCTCTGTTTTCTCTGCCAACCAGGTGGGAGGCCTGGATGAAAACTCCCGGCTTCCCCTGGGCACTGGGGCCATTTGGGAAGTGAAACACTGTTCTGTTACTTTCCCTTCCAAATAAACTTTAAAACAGCAGCAGTGGGTCTGGGTGGTAGCCCAGTGGCTAAAGTCCTTGCCTTGTATGCAAGGGGATCCCATATGGGTGCCGGTTCTAATCTTGGCTCCGCTCTGGCTGTTGCAGCCACTTGGGGAGTAAACCAGGAGACAGAAGATCTTCACTCTGTATATCTGACTTTCCAATTAAGAATAAATCTTAAAAACAAAAAAACACCCACAGCAGCTGCTAAGATCTACATTAACATGAGGCACTATGCTCATACCATAAAAGTTCTATTGGATACGTATGCATAGTAACACAGAGTACTGTATATAGCCCTATACTGAGATTTCAGGCAGACATGGGGTGGCAGGTGGGCACTTGGGATCTATCTTCTCAGGGGAAGTGGGGACCCTCAGTGAGACCACCACACTTTGAAGAACAGAATAGGGTTGGTACTGAAGAATCAGACTTGTGTTACTGGAAAAGTCCCACTACACAATTGCTCCAATTTCTCCCTGTAGTATGGGGTGAGGGGAAGAGCCCAGGAATAATCATTAATGTACCTTTGGAAGAATCGTCATAGCCAATGTGTTTAATGGCTTCCCGAACCACTTTCTGGTAGTCAACAGCAGCTCTGGATGTAATCTCCCCAGCAAGAAGGATCATGCCAGTTTTAGCAACAGTTTCTAGAAGAGAAAAGCTCATATTTAAACCTTTTTCCTGAGGTCCTTCAGTACATACGCACGCAAGCACAGAATCCACACCTACCGCAGGCCACCTTGGCATCAGGGTCCTGCTGAAGGTGGGCATCCAGGACAGCATCACTTATCTGGTCACAAATTTTATCTGGAAAAAAAAGAAATTTCTGGCTCATTCTAAGGTATTCTTGAAAGTCATGCCTCTTTTCTACAGACATAAGCACTGTTTTAGCTCAATCCACAACCCACTTGCCTGAGGTAAAGTACAAGTTACTTCAAAACTTGACACCATGGTCTTAACAGTTGCATAAGTTCATCAATTCATACCAGCCAGCACAACTTTCCTTATTTAATATCTTACTTCACTAGGATTTACTTCCAACAAGGATTCCAGTCCCACCTGAAAACTTCAGGTACTTGATTTCACACACCGAACAATTCTCCCCATTAACCAGAGCGACTTAACAGATTACAACAGAAACTTGAGGCACTTTTAAATCCAAATACAGAAGCCAGGTAAACACAAACCCTTAGGGTACTCAAAGCTCACAGCTCTAACATCTATGCATTACACAACCAAGCACTTATGTCAATTACCCGATTTGTTAAAGAACACAATAGAACCACAGGAATAGCAAGATCCCCAGCACACCTGGCCTGTGGGACAACTACGACCACCTGTAGAGCTGTCCCGCAAAGACAATCTGGGCAACAGAATTCAACAACTGACAGGAAACACAACCTTCCTTGAGGAAGGAATTTGGTGCCGTTACAGCTGTCCAAGGGCAAGAACTCAAGACCGAAAAAGGTCCAAATATTCTTAATCCTCGTCTTCATTGGTGGGAAGGTGAGCAAAACCAAGACAATGTACAAGCTGTGTTAAAAAAAAAAAGCAAAAGCCTGTGACATAGACGCCGGCTCCCAAGCCGCGGGTTCCACACCCGGGTCAGGCAGGGCAGCCGACCACCGGCCTCGGGCACCTGCGGGCGGCACTCGGGCGTCCCCTGCCGCCCCGGCTGCCTGCACGCTCGCCGAGGGCGCCGAGCTGCATCGGAAATTCCTGGAAACCGCCTTCGCCGTTCACGTGGAGACGGGCCCCATCATGGCGGCGGCGCAGTGGACAAAGCCCAGCGGGCGGACACGTGAAGCAGGACCTCGCCTAGCGGCTGCCACCGGCGCCTTTAAAAGGCAAGCCCACGCCACGGCCGCGCCCGCTTCCTCCACGCTTCCCAGCCTTTTTTTTTCCGCCGAGCCCAAATAAGGGCCGCCGCCTCCAGCGCGCGCTATATTTAGCCGGGAGGCTGTCACCTTGACGCCGAAGGGCACGGCCGGCGTCCTCGGGGCCGCCCCGCACGTGCTGGCCGCTGCAATGCGGGGCGCGCGCTCCCGCCGCGGGCCCGCGCAGGCCGGCTCGCCCACCCGCGAGCACCCCGGCGCGTGGGGCGCGGGCACGAGCGGCCGCAGCCCCGGCCTCCCCCCCACCACCCCCACGCTCGTCTTCTGGAATCTTCCGCGTGCCGGATGGGCGGGGGGAGGGGCGGCCACGCGCTCGGCACCGGCGGCGCCACGAGGGGAGGAGAGAGGGGACAGCCGCGCCGCTCCGTCCACCTCCCCGGCCGACCCGGGACGACGCGCGCGCTGACCCCGCTGCGCCGGCCGGCCGCAGCCGCGCCCGTCCTCGCGTCCCTCCGCCCGCCGCGGGTCCCCGTCCTCCTTCACCTGGGTGGCCTTCCCCGACGGACTCGGAAGTGAAGAGGAACGTGCCCTCCTCGATGAAGGCCTCGTGGAAGCCGTTGAGCTGCCCGTTCATGTTGACGCGGGTGGTGGTCAGCGAGAGGGGAAGGCGAGGACAGCGAGCGAGCAGCGGCGACTGCGTTCCACAGGGGACGGGCAGGCCGGCGCGGAGCGAACCAGGGGCCGGGCGGCGCGGCCCAGTATTTATAGAGCGGCGCCCGCGCGCGCCCGCCTCGAGCCCCGCCCCCCGGCGCCGCGCGCCAATGCGCGCCCAGCGCGGGGGTCGGGCGGGGAAGGCGGCGCGGGCCGGGCCGAGCCGGGGCTGCTCCACTCCGCGAGGCGGGGGGGGAGACCAGGCCACGGAAGCCGCCCCCCGTTTGCCCAGCTAGCTTCGGAAGCTGTTAGATCATAAGGCAAGTGGAAACATGAGTCGCTCGAGTGGTTACACCCTTCAAAATCGTGGTGGGTGATAGAACGACCTGGGCTTTGTGGAATGCCTCCCCCTATGCTGTGAAATGGCACCGCCCACCCGACCGTTGGCTGCGACATCTCTCCGCGCGGTCGCGCCGTCTGGCGGCGGCGGCGGGAATCGCCGAGGTTTTGTGCTCGGGCTCTGGCCCAGGGGGTCCTCCTGGCCACCCGGCTTTCCAGTGCCCGGTGACCCCCGCAGCCCGTGACGCTCAGCCTTGTGCAGGTGGCCATTCTGACCGGCTATCCTACACTTCTTACCCACCCCGCTCTGCTCGCTGCGGACAACTAGAAATCTGAAGGACGCTGACCCAGTCAGTAATGTCTTGGTTAATGGGGCTGACGAAAATGGCTGGAAAGCTGATTGATGCCAGCGCCCTTACCGATGTAAACAGTTGCCGTACTACCCCAACCTCCTCCCCCCGCTCAGGTTTGTTGGAGGCATCCTTGGCCTTCGTTGAACGCCACGGCGGAGGCCACGCTGTGGCCTCCTCGTCGGAGAGGCTGCCCTTGCCCCGACTGGCTTCCCAAGTGAGAGAAAAAACGGCTGTTGGCAGCGTCGTGACGGGCTCCTGTCGAGAGGGAGTGTTAAGTGAATATTTCTTTTTCGTGGGGGCAGGGCCTTAGCCGAGCTTCAGCAGAGCTCCTTTACAAGGGCTGCTTCGCGAAGCTTTCACTTTAAAATGGCCACCTGCGGGTGCCCTGGTTTTGCCCATGAAAAGAATCCTAGAGAGAAGGAAAGAAAAAAAAAAAGAGCTAAACAAAATTGAAGCTGACAAGGAGTTAGAGAGTCGGAGCTGTTTTATGGTCATCTCAGTGGAGACGGTGTCCCAGGAGCTTGGGGACCGGGTGAGGGCCGACCAGGGCTGCGCGTGCCCAGCATGGCGGGCTGGGTGTGCCATTGCACGGGCTTCTCCGAGCACAGACGTAGGACAGCGCTGTGCCAGCGCCCAGCTGCCTGGCGCCCAGGGAATGGTGACTGCTGCTCCGTCTTTTCCGCAGTGACAGAGTGTGCAAGAGGAAAGGTGGGATTTGCCATCAGCTCGCTGAGAAACAAAGGAAGCTGTTGAGCTGGGACAAAGAGGGCTCGTCCCATACTTCCAGACTACCTCCAGGTCGCTCACAGCAGACGGCAAGAAAAGGTTAAATTACAGAAGAGACAATAATGAGCATGCTGGCTGTATTTGTTGGCTTTTATTTTTCAAGTTAATTGTGGAGAAATAATTGTTTAAGAGCTTCATAATTTAGGGTTTTAATGTTATTTCATCTTTTTTTTTTAAAAGGATGCCAATGCATTAACTCACAATGCGTAATGACAATGTAATAAAATTGTCAGTTGCAACAAAATGCATGTGTAGGCTGGTCAGTGCATTATCTCCCAGCAGAAAAATCTATATGGGGAGCCAGAATATAATTAAAAAGGTTTTTATTAATAGGGAGAACAAGGGGATTAGTAAAACTGAATGACTAGCTCATTAAATCCTGATACCCCTGTGCTACCAGCTGGTTCCGGCCAGGGAGATTAGAATCAGCTGTATATACTTGCGTGCTTACTGTTCTTGTTCTCACACAGGCAGTAAAGCGGTTGAGCAAGGATTTGAGAGTCATGCCTCTGCCGCTTATTAACAATGCCGAACAGACTGTACCTGTGTAATTAAATATCTTCAGTTCGTAATGTTGGAATAGCAAGAGCACCATCATAGGACTGCATGAAGGACTAAAGATGGGAAGGGGTGATAGCACGATGGCTCAGTAGGCTGACCCTCTTTACCTGCAGGTGCCAGTATTTCACATGGACACCTGTTCATGTTTCAGCTGCTCCACTTCCCATCCAGCTCCCTGCCTGTGGCCTGGGAAAGCAGTAGAGGACGGCCCAGAGCCTTGGGACCCTGCACCCACGTGGGAGACCCTAAAGAAACTCCTGGTTCCTGGCTTCAGATTGGCTCAACTCCAACTGTTGCAGCCATTTGGTGGTGGCAGTGGGGTGAACCAGCGGCTGGAAGATCTTTTTGTGTCTCCTCTCTGGAACTCTGCCTTTCAAATAAAAATCTTTTTTTTTTTTTTTAATAGGCAAGTAACTTCTAGCATAGTGTAACGAACATTGAAGGCAGACTAGCACATATTTCTCAATACTTCCCATCCCAGTGCCACTACCACTTCCTGGATAAAGCCTTCACCTACACATGTTTCTTGCACCATTCTGTTTGCCTTCCTGTTACCATGCACAGTCTGAAATGACAGACTTGCTGATTGTCTGGTGATTGTCTCCAACTCCGTTGGAGCTGTAAACTGTGTGATGGGAAGGTGCTCTGTTTTCCTCTGGCTTTGCTCCTGACTGCTTGCCTGGCACGCGTAAGAGTATGTATTAGAGAGGGAAGGAAAGAGCGAAAGGAAAGATGAATGTAGCTCATGGCTGGCAGAAGAAAGCTGGGGAATAGGGGATGCTGGTGAACACGTGAGATTGGAGGAGAGCAGCCTTCTTTGAGTGAACACTGAAACTAATGACGTTGAAAGCTTTTTACAAAGAGGAGAACACATGGCCATCCTGTTCTGAGAAGAATGAGATATTTTTGTTTTTATTTCATTGACTGGTACCCTAAGGGTAAAATAAGCCAGGAGAAGCTCTCAGTTTATTTCCTATTGAACATTAATGACATTTACTGAATATGAAAGGCTATAAAGCACATAGGAAAATCTAATCACTGCTTACAAGCTCCAGACTTTTCAACCGAGAAACATTGATTTGGAGATAGTCCTGTGAGAGGGGCAAAATTGGGACGCGATAAACTAGCATGTGCTGGACAGTAACTACTCTGAAAGCAGAGCTGCACGAACATCCTCATTTTTCGACGTTGTCTTTTGTTTAGATTTCTGTTATTTTCCTCTTGATATTTAAATCTTTTCATAGCCTTTATGAAAAAGTAAGGGCTGAAAGAATGCGCAAGGTGGGATGGAGGAGACCCTGAAGAAGGTACTAATATAATATTACCTATCGTGGTGATAGGCAGTGCCATGGGTCTGCTCATAACTCAATGAGGCAGTCACTGCTTTCCTCCTTTCTTAACAGGTAAAGAGACTAGCAGGTCATTTATCAAATCGGTAGTGGAATTGGGACCTGAGCCTGCATCTGCCCTTTTTTATAGGTAAATAATTCATACCCCCTGGAGGTAAATTCATAGCAACACTTTGATTTGAACTTTTCCATATCTTTTTTTATGAACACACACATGAACACATATACACATGCTTGTGCATATAAATACATGCATTGCTCATTTTTTTAAAAAAAAGATATTATTTATTTGGAAGCAGGGTTACAGAGAGAGGAGAGACAGAGCTCTTCCCGTCACTGGCTTACATTTGTTGTGGCAAATGGTCACAACAAGCAGGGTGGGTTGGCCCAGGCAGCAGCAGGAGCTCAAAGCTGCTTCTGGCTCTCCCACGTGAACGGCAGACGTGAGCCATTTTCTTTTGCCCTCCCAGGTGATTTAGCAGAGAGCTAATTAGCAAGATTGGAAGTGAGGCAGCCAGGATAGAAACTGGAGCCCATGTGGAATGCCAGAATTACAGGCAGCAGCTTTACCCACAGTGCCAGACCCTCTGTAAAGTTTCTAATGGTGCCATTCTTGGGGGTGTACAAGGTTCAAGTAGTAACATTCAAACCTTCCTCCTGGAGGGTTGGTGTTATGGCACAATGAGTTAAACCACTGCCTGTCACCCCAGCATCCCATGTGGATGCTGGTTCATGTCTCAACTGCTCTGTGTCCGATTCAGTGCTCCTGGGAAAGCAGCAGAAGATGGGGCAAGTGCTTGGGCCCCTTCCACCCATGGGGAAGACCCAGATGAAGTTCCTGGATCATGGATTTAGCCTGGCCTGGCCTAGTCTGGCCTATCCCTGGCACTGTGGCCATTTGGAAAGCAAGCCAATAGGTAGAGGATTCTTAACTTTTCTCTATGTAACTCTGCCTTTCAAATAAATAAATATGTGCACTTTAGCCACATCTCTCTGGTACCCAATATAGATATTGGATCCAGCCAAGTCTATCTGTGACTGAAGGCTCCGACTCACCAACCATGCCTGTTATAATCTACTCTGCTTCTGTTACTGTTTATTCTAGCCACTTGTCTATTTTAAAAGAAATATATATATATATTATTTATTTGAAAGAGTTATATACAGGGAGCTACAGAGGGAGGGACATACAGAGAAAGATCTTCCATCTGTCACTCCCCACAGTGGTGGAGGCTGGACCAAGCAGAAACCAGGAGCTGGGAGCTTTTTCTGACGTTCAGCATGAGTGCAGTGGCTATCCACTGCTGCTTTCCCAGGTATGTTAGCAGGGAGCTGGATTGCAAGTGGAGCAGTCAAAATCTGAACAAGTTCCCATATGGGATGCCAGCATTGCAGGCAGTGTCTTAACCTGTTAACAGCATAGTGCCAGTCCCACCACTTTTCTATCGTCTGGAACCATGGCTAATTCATTTGAATCATTAGTACCATTGCTGGGAAAGAGAGTGATCATTTTTGCTGTCTTACCAACTGCCCTCCAAAGCTTTCATCTAAAGGTTGCCATTCCCAACAGTCTAGGAATCATTCATTGGGTACCAACTTCTTTAGACCCTCCTGCAAACTTCCAGAACACATACCTGCCTCTCAGGCCTAGAGCTGGTTTCTGCCTCCTCTAAACTTGGATAGCCCTTGAT